CGTTCGTCAACAGCAGCATGGGAGGGGTTACCGACGTAAATTCTGGGCTCCCGGGGAGTGACAACTTTCCGTTCGTGCCGATGAAGGTCGAGATCGACAACGTGTCGTCTGGGGTTCTCGGCATCAGTGCAAGATGATTGTCGGCAGCTGGTGACTTGCCATGCTGAGCTCTACCATGGGGCTTCACATCACGCTTCTTGACCTCCTCAACAGCCTGTTAGAGCGAGGTTTTGGACCTGCTTGATGTCCCTTGCGTGGATTTCTTGGGCAGTAACGGTCATTTCGTTGGTGCAGAGACCTTCAGTGTATGAGGTAACTTTGCAGGGGCTTGTGTCGGCTGTATCGTCGCAGTTAGAACAGCGGAGGGTGCATTTTCCGGGAAGATCTCGTCACTCGTGAGCAGGTCGATGCCGTGGTGTGACCGAAATTCATACGGGAGACGCTCGGACTGGTACGGCGCATTCTTGCCGTGAGCGGGTTGAAGCTTGTTATCGAAGAGAATCTGGTCACACACCGATCCGTTCACCATCAGCTGCGGCGGACACGTCTTTGGCAAGAAGTATACGCGCCATGTGCTGAGGTGATGCCAGTCGCCATGTTGACCGCACGGAACGAGTCGTAGATTGGTTGACTTCCGAGAATGAAGAGTCGGAGCAAGATCACGTCCGTGTTTGTGTCCGAGTCGACGTTCGAGATGTCGAGGTAGTTCTTGCTCGCGAGGACGTCGTACTTCTTGGACTGAAAGTTGCCTCCCAAGATGATCCCCTTCGTGCGTTCGAGTTTCAGGCATGCATCTTTGGACTTCACTTTGACTCTCAAGTTTCCGCCAGGGAGTTTCGACACCTGGCCGATCTCATGCTGTCTGTACAGCTCTTCGAGAACTTCATTTTCATGGTTGGAGCCAGCGAGCGAAGCCATGATGCGCTGCAACAGTGTTTTCGCAAACGTGCGTCCGGTGGCGATCACCAAGTCGAACTTGGCTCGAGGAAGCTCGTATGGTCGGGCTCGATCCATGCGAGAAGC